TCGATTGGAGTCATGCAACATGAAAAAGGAAATGTAACTAAATGGTTTTTTTTCAAACAAAATATAATACGTATCCTTCCAAAATATCGTGTTATGAGCAAAACGGACAAATAATATCCACGCGATACACGCACACATATAATATGTCATAGTATATCGTGTACAGCAGTCCGCAAGTTTCACGTGTTGTTATTTACCGTAGGTTTAGGTGGAGGAAGTGTTTTTCCACCGGAAATCGAGGGGAAAATATGGTCCCAAGGCCGCCGGCGCCACCGCCGCCACCCTGTCGATACGGATCAATGTTTTAGGCTTTCCCGGCTCGGCCATGTTTTCCCGCGACGCGTTTTCCGACCAATCCGCAATAATTTTCCACGCCCTGATGGTCGCCCCACCGCCGTTATTATATATATGTACCTTTTATTCCAACCACCACCGCCGTGCACTGTCTTCTCACCGACCAGTTCTCTCTTCCGCAATATAACTGGCGGCGGGACCGTGCAAATATTATTATTGCACACATTATACACATATTTGGATAAACGCGTTGCAGGCTTAGCTATGTATCCAGTGCGTATCGTATCCATAAGGTGTACAATATTTTTAGCCAGACCCTTTTTAACTGTCAGTCGTTAAGCAGATTATTTTTTTGAAGATGTTCATGCATCTCAATTGAAATTAGAATGAATGGTTTCTGAGATATTAAACTTTATGTACTATGGATAATTTCCTAAATAATATTTCTACATTATATTATATAAAGTAAATGTCATGTTTATTCTTGTATTATAAGCATCTACTTATTATATTTGCCCACTTAGGCAATTTTTACAAATTATAACATTTTAATTAATTACTATAATTTTCAATTCATCAAAGCCATCATTATATCTTAAATTTGGCATCATATACAAAGTAATAAACAGTAGTATATATTATACTAGCGTATATATAAATATATTTATATAATATATACTAGCTGGCGCCATGTACTTTGTTGCCCGTGAAAAATGCCAACAAAATAAATTGTATTAAAATTCGTTATTTAATATTCAATGTAATGGTGTTCAAAAAGTAAAAAAATAGAAATGAATTTATATGGATATAGTAATAATATAAGAAACTTCTTTTCTTATGGGCAACCAATTGCCAGAAGAAATAAACAAATAAGCGATTATGATTTTACTAAAATTACTGAGCACGGTAAAAATAATGTGACTAAGTATCAAATACAGGTTTAAATTATATCCAAACATAAAAACAATTTTATTTTATGTAACTAATGGAAAACATTTATAAACAAAAAAAAATTGATTTCTATTGTGATGAATCTCCAAATCCTTGTGTGAGCACCTCTTTAAAATGCGAATTTTGGAAAATTTTTAGTACACCATAACGTCATGATGGTGGTACGAGGACTGTCAAGTCCCTAGCTATCGTAATTTAGGCTCAACGTTGATTAGTCAGTCAGTCAGTCAGTCAGGAGTCAGGACACGTTAAATTATGTCTACATAACATATTGGCTATAGAAATACGGAAAACTAGGGTTTTGTTATATTTTAAGCAGTGCAAATATAATTTCTTGCAGATGATATGCAAGCGTGCATACTGCATATTATTTCGATGATGAGTGATCGATCGATTCAAATGCGTACATTATAGTATACATCACCACGAGCAGCGCAAGCGATTATAGAACTCATAATAATAATAATAATAATAATAATGATAGGTATACATATATATGGTCTAAAGTGGCTTCGTCGCGAATGACGGCCACAGTGCTCTTAAAAACAACAAATCGTCGGTAATTGACCCGTTTGGTGGAGAGTCGTGAAAATAATATATGGGAGGAAACCACATGCACTTCATGCATACACACACACACATAATGTCGGGGTAGGTTTAATGGCCCACATCCCAGGAGGACAAACTGCTGCACGAGCGCAACGACCACTCGAACACGCTCTCTTTTCTTTGGTTCAAGCTTTTTTCTTTTTTTTTTTGTTCATGACTTATTCTATTTTTTTTTTCACTTGTAATAATTGGCACCGTCGTCACGCCTCGATCCCCCCGCCTTACATCACCCCTACAGAGCCTCCTGACGTCCAATTATTGCTAAAATACCGCAATTTGTTCGAGTTTTGCCAACGTGGTGGCATTGTGCTGCAGAGATGAAATGAGTACGTATATTATATTCTTAACGAATGTAGGAAAAAAATACTTAACCACATGAAATGCGAACAATATGTGTATAAAGAAAACTACTTATACATATATTATATTATATTTCTCACAAAACATATATACGCGTACCTATATGTATAATATAAGGGTTGACGGCGGGGTGTCCCATCGTTCGAGGACATTTCTAGGTTTGTTTCGTAAAATGAAAAAAATTTGTTTATCGTTTTTATTAGTATATTTTTATTCGGTGTTTGGCCAACAACAAAACACAGAATGTATACTGCAGAAGGTGTGTGGCACGTAAGCCCGATAGAATTTATTCAGCAGTAAATGTATTCATTATCGTTTAATTGAATTGGCAAGAGTTCATTCCATTCACTCAAACGTCGGTATTATTGAGTTTTCTATCAGCCAAATCGTCTGTACTCGTTTATTTTAAATAATTAAATATATTGAATTAAAAAGTAACAGCTAACTCAAACGAAGACGGTCGCTAAGATAAAAAGATAAATACGACGAATGCGCTAGAATTGACTAAATGTCTATGTTATAAATGGAGTACAGTCTATTCTATTGAATATAATATACTATTGTGCAAATATATTATTTCTATATCTTAACTCTTATACTCGAGTATAAAAAACGTTCTAAACACCTACTCATCATCAGAATTATAGTAGGTATATTCGCTCCGATCAACAAAATGTGAATTTAGGGTAACTCAATAAACAATTTTCATTTTTCCATGATAATACAGATTAAAATCAATATTATTTTATTGTAATGTTACCTATTAAATGTTTGAGATTTAGATTAACCTATTGTGTTGTTACTTGTTACGGTTTTTATTTAGTTTGTTCAATTTGAAAAATCCCTGTTTAGGGCCCAAATAATTGGGCATAGTATACTTAATAATAAATAAATAAAATATAAATATACAATAATATACCGTTTTTCTACAATTACATTACATATTATGTGACTTAAACGAATCGAAATTTTGTCACGGAATAAAACAGCGGTATATTGCATGACAATATTGAATATATAGTAATTAATATTGAGGTACTCAGCTATTACATTGCCTATTACTCAGGTAGGTATCAGGCTATATGCGAAAGTAAAAACAAATTTATAAATAGGTAAATAGGTAAATAGGTAATCATCTAGGTATAAAGGATCCACCACTTCAGCGAACTTTTCTGCACAGCTGTTTTACAGGGCCACTTGAAAACGCACAATATTACATGTAGTATATTATAATATGAAACTGTGCATTATATCTATTATGGTGCTCATCGTCAAGACGGTTGTTGCGATCGCACAACAATATGTACAATAATGGTCGGAAGGAAAGAAAAAACTTATGTACAATACCAATAATACCTACAAGTAATACATATACATCATGCGTATACACACATAACAACACGACAGAATAATAATAATGATAGCTGTGCCGCGGACCCGTACAAGTGGCACTCGACAAAAATGTACATTCATCGGCGAGTGCAGCTCTTACAAGAGACCGGATGATCGAGGCACATACGTCGACGAGTATATAGGTACTATAGATCCGAGCCGGCACACAACAGAGCAAAAGATTCCTTTTCTATCGTTTTTTTTCTACTTTCGTATTAAAAAGTAATTCCGCAATATCTACCCCGCGTATATAATATATATATATAGGTACGTTGCGCCGCACAGAGGCAAAAGATTTATATATATTTATATACATTGTGTTTGGAATTGAGTGCGACGGTCCGTGAAAACTGGTAACAAAAGTGTACATGTGCGTGTTTTGGATAGGGACGAAAAGGAGAAAACATATTTTACGTTTTATTATTATTATTATTATTAATATCCTCGTCTTTTTTCTGTCCAAAAGAAGTATCTTTTTCCTATTCGGAACGGGAGGAGGGGGCGTTTTATTGACTGAATCGATTTGCCTATATACAATATTATAGTCGACCCTTCGATGAAAATAATAATACCCGTTTCGGGATTGTAAAAACGTCTGAAGGTATACCTCTACCTATACATTATTATAATATTATATCTAAGAGCTGTGTACATAGGTACGATAAATAAAATATAAAGTATCATAATATAATATGTATTGTATTGTATTATTGAGATTTTATGAATTAAGTAAATTTTTGTAGGTATTGATTTCGTAAACACTTAATTCACAACGAATTTCTAAATACATTCCGACGGGACACCGTGCACCCGTGCAGCAGCAATGTTATTATATAGACTATATATAGAGGCCTGAGGTAATAATCAACCATTAATACGGCTCGATGCACTATAGTATATAGTGATTTTTAAAAGTAATTTAAATTCCTAATTATTACCATGAATCGTGGGCATACTATTTTTAATTATTTTTATTTCAATTTAAATCAGTAAAATAAATGACTTTCAGGTTTGAACAGTACAGAGACATTATTCATACAAATACCTATTGGTTGGTTATAAAAGTTAAATCGGAGTACCGAAATCAATAGAAAAAAACGCATCGAAACTCCAAATTGTATATTTGATTTACCCGATTTCCTAACATAATACCTGATCATCAGATACAATATTAATATTTATAAATTATAATATTACACTTATTATAAGTCTGCCCCGAGCAATGCTGAAACGGCTTCGAATTTGTGGACTTCATTTTCGCGACTATGTTATAATTTATAAATTATAATCAATGCAATGATACTAAAATACCTATATTATATTTGTATCGTAAAATAACAACCAATTACGAGTGTTATTGTATATGTTTGTATATTATGTAGATAGGTACTTACGCTCGGTATGTTGTCGTTGCTACACACCCCTTCGGACAGCAACCGGTCCCTGATCTCCCAAGCGAAGATGGACGGACACTCGCGCTTGTAGTCGGCGATTTTGTTCACTACGCCATTGGTGGCAACCCGCGGCTTCGAGCCGCCAATGGCACGCGGCTTGATTGAACCGGTTTCGTAATACCTGCGGCGACGAACCAGACGTGATATTATCATGAAGTTAAGCTTTATTACACTTAAATACACGTTCTGCTTTGTAGATGACAATTTGATGTATTATATATTTAAGTAATTATCTCATCGTTGTCAGGGCAGAGGCGTCGAAGTGACCATAACTTTAAACACATGTGACAGAAATACAGAATACCTGAGATCAACATTTACCATCTACCCATCTCCATATAGGTACATTTCACACCGTGTTAACAATTTTGATACTATATTATAGAACTATACACAATTATGTGATTAGACTAATATTTATAACAATCCTCACATAAAATCAACCTGCAACTTAAGTAAAACTAAATTTCTGTGCCCATACGTACAATAATACAATAACTATACATGAGTTGTTTCCATCTTACAAAAATGTACGCAGTGGCGTCATTTAGGGGAGGGAGACTGGGGAATTTGCCCCAGTCTAGTATTTACATCAACCTTTAGTCGGCACATTCACCACAAGCCCCCCCTCCCCCCGTTACCTCAATGGCACTAATGCACTATGCTATGAGAATCTGAGTGAAAAAAATTGAAAAATTGCCCTAGTCTAATAAAAACTGAAATGACGCCACTGAATGTACGACATATCAAATTTGTGTTCAGCCTTTTTAATTTTTGTAGTACTTGTCTAAGCTTTAACAAGAAAGTAATTTAATCTTAAAGGTCAGAACATTATCTATGTTTTACCCTAGGTTTTTACGATATTTTAATTTAAAGTATTTTATGAATACCTATGTAAAATATTGCAACATAATTTAAAAATCCTCATACTTTTTGAGAAAGCATAGATAATGTTTTTTGCTTTAAGTTTGATAATAAATCACTTCATTCTATTATTAAAGCTTACTACACAAATTTGTTATGTTGTAGTAGGTACACACTTCTACGTTCGTACGACGAAGACAACACATGTGCGTGAAGGGTGTACCATTTTCTCAAACTCAGTACTTATAATACATTTAGATCTAAATACTTGAGACGAGTAGATACTTATTTAACACCCCCTCCTGTCACGATGCGCCACCAGTGAGTCGAAATGTCAAATCGAAATTAAAATAATAAGCAATAAATTATTGGATTGGCATTGCCTATATCTATTGTGTTATAAGTTATTTAATCTATGGTATAATGCAGATGATCAAGAGTTGTATTTTTTAAACTACAAATCTAAACACATCGTCGTAGGCATGACAAATTATATGGGTATCAACACAGTATTTGATACGCATCCTCCGCTCTTTATTTCGCCTGTATCGTAGTTCTCCACTTTGTATTGGCTATCAATCATACACATACATATATAACATACAGAACAAAATCAACCAAGAAATGGAGAACTACGACATGGGACGGAGGTGAAGGAGATGCGCATACTGAGTAAAACTGTTACAACTATGATGATACCTATCTTATTTGTCATGGTCGTAGGTGTGCTCATTTTGATAACAATTAATTGTCTGAAACATAGTGCTCACCTGCCAAGTATTTTGGATACGCATCCGTTGGAGACCTGCAGTATGCGGGATATGTCACACGGCCTGGCGCCTGAGTGTGCAAGCTCGACGATTTTCTGTCGCGTCGAATCCGGCAACGGGCGACCGTTGACATACACTCCACCCAGTTGGTTGATACCACTATGACCGGCCGCCGAACAACCGAACAGAGCCGCCGAGCTCTGGACCATCGCCGCGGCCGCCGCCGTCATGTTGCAGTGGTCCGAATCATCTGAAAAGGACAAAAACAATAATATTTTAAACGTTATTCTATAAATGGCACATTGAGTTTAAATTATTTATAATATTCAATGAGGACACTTTCAAAAAATTAATATTTACAGCGTGGTTATATGGGTGCAAGTCGATGAGCAGTTTGGGTTGAAGAAAAATATCGCGACACAAATATTATACTTATTACTATGTATAATAAAATATTGGCAATAAATATATGATCGTGATATAATGTATTATGCAGAATATATAAACAGAATTATCGACAAAAAGCGTTTCTAAGAGTGAGTGAGTGAGAGAGAGAGAGAGAGAGAGAGAGAGGACCACACACGCAAAACATAACATATAACGTCATCCCCTCCGATGCGTGCTTATCCGACCATGGCGACGAAAATATTACGCGTGTATTATATTATATGTATAATAATAATATTATATGTATATTATATTATATTATGTGTATATATATGCGGGCCGTGGGTATTTTCTGATACGGTAGCGGTTTTTATTGTTCAGAGAGAAGTAGGGAAGCAAATTGGATCTGTCACTCAAGTAAAGAGGAACGACGGTGGCGGCGGTGGCGGTGGAAAAAAACACACACACTCTACGCACACCCGGTGACAGCACCGACTGCAAGCATTCCCACACACTATCGTAAGCTCACCGCGGGGATATTAATTAACATTATATATATGTATGAGTCTGTGTGTGCGTGTGCGTATGCAGAGAGAGGAGAGATTTAAGCGTCATTGTTCCCGTTTAAATTCAAGTGAAATTGTAAAATTGTAACTCAACTCTGCAGCGGTTTAATTTTTCCGAGAATATAATATTTTATGTATTATAATAATTTGTCTACTTTCGAACAATATTGAATGGTTCGAAAACTGCTTCGTTCCGATGGTTTCGTCATTACGTTTTTTCCCCCATAACGCTGAAATATATACTTTGAACTTTTGTGTAAGTGTGTTACACAGGTAAAAATAAAATATCAAACGGTCATAATAAAAGATGCTCGTCGTCCACAAAACCGTTCGTTTTAAGATAAATACAGACGAGGTAGATTGTTATTAATCGAACCCGTGCGCATATACGTCTATACAAATCAGACGAATACGTATATGGTATATATTATGCACATTATATCCTTGTAATAATCACAATAATACGATTATTAAATACTCGTTTTTAAATTATTATTATTCGCTGAAACGTGTAAAATACATTTCCATCAGAATACATATATTATTATAATTACATTTGGTTGCCGCCGACGTTTGGGCGCTAACCAAACGAAACAGGTTTTAGTCCGAGACGGATATTCGAGCGGCGAGTCGAGTAAAAAACGTGTCACTAAAAAAGTACGACGTATACGGTACCTATACCTAAATAGTATATTTTATTATATCGTTACACACTCGATCCATCAAAATCAAAGAACTGCTGCAGTGCATTATAATATTATAGGTGTACTTGACACTTGTGCGTCGAAAAATCTCACTGCGAACGCGTTGCACTATTATTCGTATAATTACATAATCGTGGTCATCCATAAAAACGCATGATAATATTATATTGAATTTAGAAAATAAGGTTCCGTGGTAACAAACCACAAGTCGTCAAGACCTTCCGGAGCCTCCAATGACGGCGGAAAGAGTTTCGTTTTTCACAAAGACGTCGGTAAAATATAAACATCGCCTACATAATATTATTATATAGTAGTAATAATAGTCTATAATATATTGTTGTAACATTCGCAGAGGGTGCGAGAGCAGTGTGTACGAAAACATTGCGAGGGCCCGAAAATCGTCTTAAAGGATTGCGTACACCGCGGGGAGGAGTGGCGAGAGTTGAGTTGAAGAGGTTTTTTTCACGATGGGTGCCCGCCGGCATCGATGTACCCACCTCTATGTATTTTAATATTATGTACGATATATTATTATATCGTATTTACGCGTGTGCTCTTTTGTCACTTGTTACGCTCGTTGTTGGCAACACACGGTGAACAGAATTCACCCTTTTAGGCGCAACAAAGTAATAATATACAATAATATATACGCCCGACGCGTATGGTGTTTTTCTTACACATATATTTGTACGTATGTGTAGGCTGTTTACACGCCCAAACACATTTCGAAAACGGTTTTTATTGCTTTTGAATTTAATTTCAGACCCTACACACACTCCCACTGCAATGCGACGTCTCACTCTCTCTCTCGTTTTCTCAAGTGTTGCGAATTATTGGCCGTCGACGACGAGCTGACAAGAGCGGTAGCGTATGTCGTGTCGTCGCTACGAGAGCCACTTGAACCGCAGCGGGTGAAAGTTCCTATTACGTAGAAATCCTATTAAGGCAGCCGTAGTCGAGGCGGATTTATTATAAATCGATAAATAATAATATTTTTGAGTCGAGTGGTTGCACGCAGTCGTACGTATGCATGTGTATTGTATACGACTATATAGTATGCGTTTCGTTAATCGATAATATATTATTTTACTGTAAATTTTATGCGGAACAACGAGGGCCAAAACGAAACAACATAATATCCGACCGTCTGTTGACTGTTATACGTGTATTTTAATTTGTATTTTACAGGTACCGAAATTGTTCTAATACTGTATGTAGGTACGCGATTTTTATCACATTTAGGTTAATGTTTCCGTTATTTGTTTTCACAGTGTATTTTTCGCATATTTGGCGAGGATTCCATCTCACACGTGCATAAACAGATAAGCGTATACATCGTCATGGAGGCCCGATCTCTCGTGGGTCGTAACGACAAGCTTGCATAATATCATATTGATATAAAAATCACGAGGATTCGAGCTTATGTCGTTCCGTGGTGGGATAAATTTACATAATTGTATAATGTAATTTAATTTACCTTTTTTTCGTTCGATTCAACAGAGAGATTTGCAATAGATTCGTTTTCACGCGTTACTCGGCCTCACTGAAATATCAGGTATTTTCTATTCAATCGAATAGAGAAATGAGTAAACATTTTCTCGTGGGCCACTTTACAGCTCTGTATTCCAACAATAGTGGTTTTGTATTATGTATTCAAAAACGACATACGAAGTAGGGACAGAATAATATTTTTTATAGCCGCCACCATGGTGGTGGTGTATATTCGTCCTCGTCGCTATTGTTCGCCCCAGAGCCCCGAATCCCGATATAATATATTGTATGTGTATAAAATGGGTATCAATTCAAAAACTGTCGTCTTAAGCGGTTTTTATTTTGAAAACCTGCGAGTGGAATTTAATGGTATATACCTATATAGTATATATATTTCCATTTTCCAATGTCTAATACAAGCACAAAGGACGCGTTTCAATATAGTTTTACGAGTGTCGTATCATAATATAATATAGGTACGAATCGACATATATATATAGGTACCTAAGCCGTTCTGTGATCATCGGAGGCTATCGGCTCCACCATCGTTCTGTAGGTATGTAATATGTATATATTTATGATACAACTACCCCGTGTTTTCGAGACATTTGATGTCAGTTTGTAAAGTGTTATACTGAAATAAAAATGCATCGATACCGGGTTCATCTCAAAAGTATAACATTTGTGGAGTACGAAAGGAAATCATTCCAACACAATACTTAACTAGGTACTCTACCTAAATATTTATACAAGCAAATCCTTAGAACATGCGAATATGCGATACTATAATATCCACATAATATTAAAATCATCGTCCCTCGAGAAATGTATTTTTTATAGACATCGGTCGGTCCAATTATATTATACAGAGATGATATTAAAGTCAAAATATCATAATACGTTTAACAGGTTCAACATTTCCTACGCTGTGTAAACAGTTTTTTCGTTTATCTTATTTTCGTTCATATATTATATTGTAGGAAAATTATGTTGAAACATCATATTTAATATATCGCAGTATATTATATTCGGAATCTCGAAGCCACATAAAACAATCCGAGGGAGAGATCGCGGTCGATAGATAATAATAATATGTGTGTGGAAAAAGCGCGTACCTACATTGTACGTGAACGGTTTCGAGGCGAGGAAATCGCGTGCGTACGCGTATGTCGTCCGGCCATTTCGGCTCTGTGCCAGCCCGCGGCGGGAAAACGTTTTTCCGGCGGCACGTCCGGTACCCCTCGTCGCAGCCTCCGATCCCACCACGGACGCATAATACAGCGGCGGCGGCTGCGACCGGAAGCGCACCGAGTCGCGCTGGATACGCCACCACGCGTCACGCCGCTCAGTCCGTCGCCACGGCAACGTGCACAAAATAAAATGTATAAACTTCTATAATATTATATCTATACGTCTGCGCAGTGTACCATGCGCACGCGCGCTTTACCGTAAATTTAACGACCCAACACCTCCGCCGAGAACGCGCGTTTTTATCCTGTCGCCGCGCCGGAGGCGTTCATGATGGAGCTTGCATCAAAACGTAGCGAATATCCGATGTGCTGATACGATATACTGCGGCAGTAACAAAAACTTTATTTAAAAGAAGAAGTTAGTTATATATGGATACATAGTTTTTATTCTTGTCACAAGAGATGTATTTATATATAGTAGGTACGAATAATAAATATAGCGAAACATTACTTGAAATTCTACTACACTGAGGTTAAACCTCGTATTGTAGATCAAGAGTGGGTACTTATCTTTAAAAACAAAAGAGAAGAAATTTGTATTTTATAGGGGGAGTTTGTATTACAATTTACATATAAGGAATAAGGATTCATAGATTCAAGTTAGAAATTGAAATTTTTTTTTTGCTTATAAACAATCGTTATTGTTGGTTACAGATTATAATCGAAATGGTAGAAAAAATTTAGGTTTTGAACACCATTATACCGAATTATAAATAACGAATTGAACAAAGTTTGAATCATATTATATAGTTGGCATTTTTAACTGACAACGAAGTGCACGGGATCAGCTTTAATATAATCTAATAGCGATTTAGTACCTATACATAATAAATTGATAGTCAATAAGAATTTTTTTTTTTGGTATTTTAAGATTAAGTTATTCATTTATTTGTTTATAATAAAAGTTATTATAATGTTAGTTAATATTGTAAAATAGAGTAGGTTCATATTATAAATGTATAACATATTATAATATTACGTAGGTATATTATTGATTCTCTATAGATTATAGTATCCATTTCATGCCCTTTATAAGTTATAATAATATGTATATAATAAAGGTTTTCATTTATTTCACTAAGCTTTCTTTTCTCATTAATTTAGTTATGCAGGCAGGCATTGAAAACATTTGTTTTCACGAGGGTTAATACTTAATATATTAATAGGTTCTTGATTTTTACTTTTTTCTCGAAATTCTTTTTCATTATACCACTATTTTGTTTCAATAAAATGACCTCAGCAAATTGTTACTATTCTATTTTATTTGTTTATTACATATTTGAATATACTTTATTTGCTAATTCATAATACTTTATTTACTCGTTATGAATTATGATTAGATTTCCTTATAAATCTGCGGGTTCACAGTTCAAACACTTAAAACAAAGGTACGGCCTATGGGAAAAAGTAACATTTATAATTAAAATTGTTTGTACCTATTATTTGGTAAAATCTTATTCAATTATATAAAAGTATATAATACTAAGATTTTTGAAATAAAATGATGTAGATTATGTAGATAATAGATAGGTATACGAATATATTTATCAAATATACATACATGATGTTATCTATATTAATGTTACTATAGAGTATAGGTACTTTATAGACGATCTATCAATGTAGGTATATAGTAATTTGTAGCAAATATACAGAAAGTACAGTGGTTGCAACCTCGTCTGGGATTATAATACTGTATTATAATCGTATTCACTAATCTGACAACTTGTGCGATGTCAAAGACATCGTGGTCGTACAAAGCAATTCACATGTTGTGATTACTGATTACTATACGATCAGCAGAACTTCCCAAAGACCGACCAGGAATATGCAACATGAAAGCATCAGTAGTAGAGACCTATATATTATAATTTCACCAAGCGAACATTATATTGTATATACCTAAACGTTGGAGTTGAAAGTTTTTGCCCAGTCAGCAGAGTCAGTACGACAAGGTAACAGCATTGATTTCGTACAAAACTTAAGCGCTGTAATTAAGTCGTAAATCATATACGAGGTGGCCGATATTGGGTGACCTATGCATCGCGATGATTACGATCGGTTCAGAAAATGTGTACACGCGTGGATGGGCCGTGCTGAAGCCGAAAAATACACCTATTGTGTTAAGGTCAACCCTTCGCGGGATAAACAAAAAAAATAAGAGAGAAAAAATCGAACAAGAGACGTAGTTCCGGCAGGGCTCAATGTTATATGGTTATTCTATATAAAGCGGTGCGGTACGCCATCATTGTTCTGCAGGTGTGATAATCGGAGATGGAAAAATCTACGCTGCAAGCCCCTCCAAAAGCCTCTTATATTATTATACGCCTACGCGCGCGCCACACACACCTGTCTGTGGGAAATCCTGCGGGCGATAGACATAATATAGGGGGAACAGATTACCCGCGATCGATTAAATTCCCAGAGATGCCTTGACCTATATATATGTAGGTGGCTGCATACAAACTGAGTCCCAATAAAACCTTTTAGAACGAATTGAGTTCCGTGAAATTTTAAATGTTTTAATACTAACTGGGTCCATCAAACTTACAACAAACAATTATCTAGTTTCCAATTTGTAAAAGACTTGGGGGATAGGACAGTATGTAACATACAATTCTACGGGTATGAATAAAAATATCTATGGACTATGGGTATAAAATATAAAATGTAAATTTTCAAATCGTGTTATTAAAGTCAAAAATGTTAAATGATATTATGCTTGATTTTATATTTTACTCAAAATAACCTTCGGACTTAATAAATTCCTATATTTTTCATTTATACATGGGACACAATTAGTATATTATTTTTTTTTCTCGTTCAGGTTAGGGACTCAATTAGTATAAGTAATGTAGGTACAAATCGCGTTATTGAAGCCGAGTTACACGAAAAATATAATAAAGGTACTTCCGTCCTTTGGGTCGTTTTATGTGACTTTATTAAAGTAATTCCTTTCGGGCTGAAACGAAATGCGGACCCATACTGCGCGCGTGTGGTCTATATATATTGTTCTTTTGTTGTAAATGGTATAGTGATGTTTTTATTTTTTTTCATTTTACATTTTAGAAAATACGATTGACGTCGATCTCGAAGTGTAGGTATATGATATTGTACCTCAATCGACAAGTAGGCACATATAAAATATTTACTCTATGGGTTTCCAAAAAAAGTGTTGACTACCTTCCTACCTACCACAGTAACAACAAAACAATTGTACATGACCATTACAATAGAGAATGCCCAGAAAATAAAGATACAAGTTTCTAGAAGTTAGAACCAAATTTTGTATTCTTACTAAGTCTTTAAAAAAAATGTATACACAAATAATTTATCAAAAATGTCAAATGTCAATACTCGAATATGCGAATGGAATATTTATAGTTTAATATATTGTATTTTTTACTATATGCATGGTATACTGTCAATGGCATTGAATAATTGACAGTTCATAAAGAACGAAAAACTCATTTCAGTTATGTATTACATTTTTTTTTTTATCAAACTGAAAACAAAGATGGAATTTATTTTAAATTTGGAGATATACAGTGTTATCAAAACGATCGAACGCTCGACATGGGGTGATTTTCAATTTTGATGAGAATTGTGCGTCTGCCGCTCAGGAGTTGAATGACAAACGATGTTCTATATATAGCATAATATATTAGTTACGACAAGGGATCCGTTTCGATGTCGCAGTCCTGGTCGAAGAGCGAGTGGCGGCAGTGGTGATGGTCAATGTCGGGGAAACCGGACTGCGGGGCGGCTTGTTTGTATACGCTTAGACAGAGATATAGACGCGAGTAGACGAAGACGCACTGCTTTTACATGTTTTTTGTACGTGTGTATATTATTGTATATGCGCGTGGAAGGTTATTAAGATATTTTCATTTTATAATTCAATATTTTTTTTTTACCTGCAGTAATAAGTATAACATGTATCTTCGTATAGGTGTGTGTATATATATATTATAATATACATATATTTATAATACCCATACCTACACACATGTAAGGCGGGAGCGGTAAAAGAAAAAAAATAACGCTGAAACACGATACCTAAATGAGCCCCGACAAATATCTCATAATATTATACAACCGCACACGGCCCGGTCCCTTTCGTGTACTCAGTGTCACATGTCAACTGATTAAAACTGGTTTGTATTCCTCCTTATTTTCCCCTTCTTTATCAAATCTCGTCATTAAAAGCGTCACACCGTATAGAATCTATCTGTCGTTGGTATTATACGGGAGAAAAAAGGACGACGATAGTTGATGGATAAAGAAAAAATAAACAACGACGATTTAAAAATGTTGTAAAAACACAACGATCGAAAATCATTCTGAAATGCTTGATGTCCATTAATCATGCCGCAAAGATCTGTTGGTCGATTTTATTGTATTTTATTCCGGGCGCCTCCGTCAGTGCGTCGACGTGTCGGCTGGACATACTCAACCAGAATAGTTGGCAATGGTATTGATATTATTATATACATATATAAAGTATTTTGAATAAAAACGATAAATAATTCAACACTTTAAACTATTCACAACTACCTAATCTATATTCGATTCTATCTATATTTCTATCCACCTGTATCACACTCGTTGTTTTAAATTACAAGACGATTTAATTTTAATTAGTGTCCATCGTCCAGAACAGACGTGTATTTAAATTTTAAAATATAAACTAATTCCTAATTTTATCAAGTATCTAAATGTATAGTATTTACAATTAAATATTCGATGGGCTATCAATATTAGTACCTATTTAACATATTAAAGGTATATGATTTTGAGAAACCTTATTTAATTTGGTGTTATTTTAGACACCACATACCATATAAATAGTATAATTAAATTTAAAAGTTGTAAATCTCGTTCCTTTTAAATGCATTATATTATCGAAACTTGACAACGATCGAAAGTTCATTTAAGTTTCATTTTTTCGCAAGTCATGAAAACATTGAAAACCTCAACAGAGTATAGAAATCCGATTATGTGTAAGAATATATTATAGAATATTTTATATTCTTGTACCCATATATTTTTTATATTAATTTATTATAATGTATTATATACAGTTTTGTATTTTAATAGCTAAAATATTATGTAACATAATTTAAGTCTTACCTTTGTGAGGCATCTTCCAAAATGGTTCGTTTTCTCTGCAAGGGAAAGGCCCGAGCCCCCCCACCCCAGCTCCAAGCAACGTCTTGACGGACCCCCACGTCCCTCCTCCGTAAAGACCCAACACCTGAAATATAAATAAGAATTATTAATAAAAGACTTTCAACACATTAGCTAGTAATAAGTAATTATTAGTCATACTTGTTTAATATTATATATTAATAATTTAATATTTATTATTATAATTTATAATATTATAAAAAGAATATATTTTACGTTCACACTTTCCTATTTATTTTGTTTTTCTCCCCTTCACAGATGACTCATCTAGATCTCGCAGAGTGCCCATTAAAATACCATAAGATTACGCGGTGGAAGACTTAAATCGCGTGTCCGGCCTGCGAATAGCGAAGGGTCCATTATTTTACATTGGCCCAAATAACGTACGCTGCTAATATAATGTAAGTGAACGTTTACACGCGACATATTATTATAGGCTCGTACATATAACGGAGGGGGACCACACGCATACTATATGGAAGTCATTTATCGGAAATGGAAAGCTACTTTAGACCGAACGCGCGTTCATCGGACCATTTCAGTTTATAGAATAAATCACAACAGCTGTCTGTAGGGACAGCGCTAGTTTAATATTATTATTGTCGAATTGGGGGAATCGTCGATTGACGAAAGGTAGACAACTAGTTAGCGCCACCCCGAAAGCATATTATATATAGGTACCTACGCACTACGCACGTATATATTATATTTTATACCCACGATAATAATGTACACCACGTGATTCGGAGAAACGGATAATAATACCTCGAGTTTATTTTATTCAACCCTCTTAACACGACCGAGCTGTCGTCTGCTGTCGATCGCCTATTGTGCGAGCGGGTTTATTTACGTTGAAATATTATATAGGCAAGTGCCAAAAAAAGTATAAATAAAAATAAACGTATTTGAGTCATTAAAAGGTTAAATGGCAAAAATAAGTTGAAAAGAATTTCGTTTCTTTTCCACGATCGGTCGTCTCGACTCACAGTATAATATGGATTATGGATGGACAATAATGTTATTATTATTCTACCTATATTACAATCCGTGGGTATTGATATATGATATACCTATACAACCTACAGGTAAAGCCAGTACAGGTAGTGGTCGATGGCAGTTAAAGATAGGTTTGTTGAAGTATAATGTATATATACCTTTTGGAGTACTTGTCTACCACCAACGATACACAGCTCATATTATAATGTAGCCAAAAACCAAAAAAATTATAATAGGTTCAAGGTTGAATTCCGAAATCACCAGAAAAGAAAATATAATCCTTATAGGTACTATAACGAATATGATCGATATTATATTCTTAGCCCGACAGTAAAGAATAATAATAATAATAATAATAAAAGTCTTCCTTATTCGCATTTTAGCTTAATAGCTATTACAGCCTATATAGGTACATGAGTTGTATATTTCTATAATTTCCAAATAGAATATAAAGGTTATAATTTATCCGGTATAATTCAGATATAATAATATAACGTGGCTTGGCTGCTCCATGTCGAGCAATGTGACTGAGAGTAAGTAACGCCAGAAGCTACTAGCTTCCGGATGGGTGTCCACCCGGGTTCTTAGTAGTTAAAACCTTGCCACATCGTACAGGTGTTGCTTATCTACCGTCACAACCGTAACAACATCTTACCAACCACATTTCATAACCCGCACAACAGCTAATGGCCATAGTCGCAGGACTTAAGTTCAATAAAAAAAAATAAAAAAATAACCTACAGAATAATGTACTAAGAAAAAAAAAGTCGAGGGTCATTATTCCTTTTCCGTATTAATTTAGTGGATGCAGCTAAGCTCAGAAAAAGTATACGTTTTTTTTTTGCCATACTTAAAATCAGAAACTCGACCGAATTCATCTTTGAAAGCGGCGTATAATAATCATAACATAATATACCTATACCACCCGTACGTCCATAATATATTATATGTATTATATACAAAGCGGCGTCAAAACGCGTGTGTGCACGTACACGCGACGGCAAAGCAAGTGGGCACTTGACTCGGCCCTCTGTATAGTATAATATATTATTATAATACACAAGCTCGTACACACGTAAATATATATAATATAGTTGGTGCAAAAACCGTCAGAGATCGTTTAAATGCACGTTGCATACGTTATGGCGAAAAAATAAAAACCATATTATATTATTTTTTTTTTGATCGGTCACAGATTTCACCGCTATCCCCACCATAAACTATATATGTATGTTATATGTGAACGTCGCACGTATTATAATAATATACATAATCGTATACGGCTATACACATTATAATATAGGCACGCGGGCGTCACGGTGGCGGCGGAGGACAAACTCTCATTAGCGACTTCAAAAGAAAACGACTTACACGACAGGATTTCCTATGTATGCGCGGTCGTATATTATTGTATAATAGCATGCATATAATATAATATATATACACTTGAGCCGCCGCCGACGTCGGTTTTTTCGATCGGGCGGCGGGTGGAACGATGAAAAATATAATTGCACTGTGCCGCAATAATGTATTCTTTAAGGGGGTATTTTTTTCATTTCATTTTTTACTATCCCCCGTAAAAAAATACGAAAATATGTCGCAGCAAAGGAAACGCGCTCAATAATCCCTTTGAACTGTGTTATTTTTTTGTACGCGATTTACGCACTAATTACCCGCAACCGCGGTTTTGAATCGTGTTTTGATTACGACCGACACGCGACTTCACTGTGAATAACGATTTGCAGGCTTCTGAATATTATGTTTATGTATAATATGATGTGTATATAAGAGAGCGGTGAACAGATAGAGTGAGAGATGAGGGTGCAGCACATGCGAATGCACTTCTAAAAGTCTGCCATGGCCTTTATATTTACCAGTTTAGGGTGTATAACATTATAATGTACCTAACTATAATATATTGTTGGTGTTTTAAATATAATCGTTTGTTCGTAATATACTTTTATAATATTATAATACTACTAATATAATATTATGTAAAATAATAGGTATATGTAAGGTATATAATATTATACAACTATTTATTAAGTGAATTATCCCAAAGAAGAACATGGAAGTGCGGTTATTGCCAACCAAAATTGTCTTTGAATCGATTTTAGAAAATTAACATAATAATTATTGTAAAACGTGTACTTTATACCAACAACATAAATAGGTATATAATTATAATATATAAATTTGAAAGATTTTGTATTAATAAAACTCACTTTATTATAGGTATAATATACAGTCTAAGTTAATTATATTTATTTAGTTAAATATTTTATATTTTCCTAGGCTATCATATCGTTGAAATTAATATGATCGAACAAATTTGTACATTAATGTATTCAATAAATTAACAGTCAACTCATAGAATTATCATTAGGATATTATTTTTCATCATCAAACAGTAATCAATATATTATATTATTATTATATGTATAATAATTATAAGACTAAGAAATATTGAGTTCAAATTATCATAATCGTATACCTATAATAGTATTATAAAATTAATAAATAACATTATATCCATTATGGCTTAACTTTTAAGATATTATTATATATTATGAAAATATTACTTTTGGAGCAGCTTCCAGTTGAGTGAAATGTTTTTCTGGCATTTTCTGGTTTTAGCTTCAACAAAAATAACAAATAACATTTGCACGTGAGTTAATCGTTGGTAATGAATTTTGATACATCAAAAAACATCATTATAATGGGTATGGTAGTTAACGATAAAACAAATTTGTATAAGCTTTTAAACGGAACGGTTGTCTTTTTATAGAAAAAATTACTTTATATTTGGATTTATCATGCATACTCACTGCCATTTTCTCCTCTAAATATAGGTAATAAATTTATGAAAATTCTTAATTTTTTACAGGTATAGAGATGCTTAGAGACCATATTTTCACATTCTTAAAATTGTTTCCACTTAAGCACTAAGGAGTACCAACTTTTTTTCAAATGGGAACTACCCTTTTTTTACTGTAATTAAAAAAATTAGATTTTTTTTTAATGTTTTGGGAAATAGTTAAATCGAAATTCAAACGAGTAGTAATTACATAATTTGTAAAAATTGTCTGGGTTTAATATTACATAATATACTATATTTTAAATTTGATCTATACTAGATTTGTAAGGACTATTATCCTTAGTTGCTACATTACATTATACATTTTAATAAATCAGAAATTATTAGTTCAAATTATATTTAAATATACAAATATTTTAAAAATAAATATCTGTTTAAAAATGTACGATAAAAACTTTGATTCCCATTTGAAAGAAGAATGTTGGGATTTGGATTGTCCCTGGACACTTCTTAAAAGTTAAACAAAATATGGTATGAATTTATTCATATTTTAGAATTTGAATGAATTCATTATTAAAAGAAAAATGGTACTGAGGAAGCTAGGTGGATCACTCTATATAACATAAACATATGGAATGGTCGGAAAATACAAAATTTTCATTTTTCAACAAGATTTTCTGAATTATTCTGAACATAAAAAGGTATTATATACAAACGTTACACGGTAATTTTTTAATACAATTGAATATTTTCCTGATCGTTATTTTCTTGCCTATGTATACCTTCATTGGTTATAATATTATATAGGTATATGTACCTATGTGTCATAGTGTATCATGCAGTCGAAATATTATATTTTTTCTTAGGACAGTAAAAGGTATAGTAATTATACCTTAATATGATGGTAGACAGCGGAGTAATATAATACGTGATGAATTTAATTTAATAATATTGATTTGCACACGATACAATTATTTTATTATAAACTTAAATAATACATTCTCCACGACTCCGCCCCCTAACCGAAATGCCCCATCCCTCTCCGATTTGTATTGTCACGATGCGGCCCCGTCTACCACCGACGGCAGCTTTTTGTCAAACACCGCGAGCTAACATCACGTAAATGTTTAACACACACACACACACACCCTCGTGGTCTTTTTTTTTATGTTCGTCTTCTTATGTGTACTTTTTTTTATTTTGACTATTGTCCGCGAGAGTATAATATATACGTAGCGTGGCCATGACGGTCCCCGCAGTATTTACCTACCATTGCAACGCGGGGCCCGCGACAATGGGACCCTGTAGCAGCAGCACCAGAGCACGGGGGCAGATGGTGTGTCGGATGGTTTTCTAATTCAGAAAACCGCTAGTGGAAAAAAAACGGTTCTTTTATAATAATAATAATATCATCGCCGCTGCCGCCGTCGTCGTCGTAATATTATATATTGTTCCCCCCTGCGGTGTGCGTGTGTGTCGTAAGAATAGAAAACATGCCCGGCTAATATTCATACTGAGCACGCCGCATAATTCGGTTAAATGTATCTATACACGTAAGTCTAACGAGGGGGCGCGAACCGCGGGGAGGAGCAACTGAAAATGAAAAAAAAGACCGTTGACAGCAGTGTAAATATAAACTATATATATATAACCATATGTATATATATATATATAAATATATATTATATATAATAGATGGTTAGGTATTATACAACACGGAATCAAATGACAACAACAGAATCTTCCGTCGGTGTATGTGTCCATATGTGATTAGGTTTTAATAGGCTCCCCGTGCACTACTCCCCCCTTTTCACACGAAACCCGGGGGCAATTGGATCCGCTGATCAAACATGCTGCGTGCGCGGTGTTTATATGTACAGGATGGTTTATTGGCTCGGGCTATATATGATATTATATATAGAGTCGCTGAAACAACAGATCATGGTAAATTAAACGAACAAATTGTACCTTTATATTAGATATTATATAAATGTTTTTATTTTTTATTTATGACAACAGCCCTTTGAAGTTTCACAAATAAAAACCTTGTCACGTATACTATTTATATTTATCGATGACTATTGAAGAATAAAATCTCGATTATTATGCTTTAATTATTATGCTTAACATTATAGTAATATAGTAATATAGTAAAATAATTATAAAAGATAAATAACGTGCCATAATATTTATTAACATTTTGTTCTATATGTAATAATAATAATAGTACAATAAAATTCAGTTTGTATATGATAATCCTTTAAGAGTGAAAACTAATTTAAAAAGTCAGTGATAAATCTACATTTTAGTTACCTGATTAATCAAATATAATTAAAACCACCTACACACGAAAAATAAATTGAAAATTTAAATTTCGTTTATATTTAAAAAATTCCAACATAGTCATGGAAAATTTATAAAATTTAAAATACGGAGTTAAATTGATAGGTGTATTTTTGTTTTAATATATCAGTTCACTGTAAAATCGACGTCTGTGTACCTACCTATTTCTAAACTAATTCAATTGTGATTCGATTATAGATATTATAATACTTTAGATATTTTCCTATAACAACCTACAGGAGTTGAATATGTGTGCAAATTTTGTGCCATTTGTTCAGTCTAAAGTCCCATTCAAACGAACATTAGTTTTTATATAATACCGATGTAGATAGAAGATATACCTACCTATTACGAGTATTTTATCCTTGGGGCGGCTCCAGAGACGTGTAGGGGGGGGCGGTGTCCAAGTCATAATTTTCAGAAAATGTCAATGATTTTTTTTTTTGTAATTTTGTTTTAACAGTATAAAATTGTTTAAAAATACAGCTTGGGGGGCCGCCCATGATTGTACCAATTATAAATATATAAATATATTACGCATTTAAAAACAATTTATGATTAAAAAGGGTTCGCAGTACTTGAATTAATAATGAACCTCAGTTTCACGAATTAATTCACGCTAAAAAAACAGGCTTAAATGGAATTAAAAATCTTCAATGTTGAATAAAATATACGAGAAACGTTATTTTTTCTTTACTTCTTCTTCAAATCTGAGCCATTGAGGCTAGGAAGTTACAATAAAACAAATGGATTCAAAAAAAAAAATAAGAAATCAATTATTAATTAATTTAGACTATAATATTAATTATTAGGTAAAAGCTATACTCAATTATTGAATTATCAAATAGTCAAAAATATAGTAACGTCATGTAAAAAGTGTATGTTTATTTATAGTTTTATTTTAGTTATAATTTATAACATTATAAAATAAAAACATAGATATTGGTGAGATTACATTTTATTTAGTTCTAGAATTTAAGAATTTAAGATCACTACAAATCACTGTAATCGGTTAAACATAAAATATCAGTTGTACAGACGTAAATTCATTTTATTTTCATTTTCATTGATATTTTAAAGCCATTACTAATTGCCTAATATACATATAAGATAAACTATAATATGTATCCCACACGACACTAATCGCAAAATGTTATTCAACTTAGGTACGTGAAGCTCGTCAGGGAAACCATACTAATAAATAGACTATTCCTATAGGCTATATTTTAAACATCACAAGACACACATTAGACGACTAATATTATTTAAAATTGGTACATCGTACAATAAAATTAAATATACATGACAAATACAGGTTGTTAAATTACAGTTGATAATTATGAAATATATACTTGTATTTAAGTTTTAATAAATAAGTAATTACTATTAAAGTCAAATAATTACATAAGAATTTAAAATAATATAATAATAATGAGTTGCAGTGGTTGCACATTTGCACTTATTGTAGATTTAGTACAATTTAAGATAAGCGATAAAAATTAGAAACAGAAAGTTGTGTAAACATTCCTCAAAATTAATACACACCGATAACAACAATAATATTAGTTGGCAATTAGACGTTTAGTTTTTTGTATGGGATATTATTAGGTTTACTTATTTGATATTATATTATATTACAGTAGGTAGCTGATATAGTGATAATATGTAAGTTGGTTTAAGGTTGCAGACACTATGTCTAGACTGATCAAGATAATCATTCATATGCCGCCTTCTAATTATGTGGGAATGATAAAGTTGTATTTAAATCATTAATTATTATTTTGTTGTAATTAATATTTGGTGTAACTTGCGATAGAAATATTTTGAAACCCAGACTGGTATCTATAAGAGAACATTGCCAATACCATTAAATTCGTGATGGAATCATTAATAATTACTGTTTATATTTTTTAAATAAAACATTAAGGTTAACGTAGGGGGAATTATACATTTATACTATTATCTTCTACGAAGTATTATACATATACTGGCGAACTTTTACTGTTTTCATTATTTTCATTTTTATTTGTTTGATGATTAAGTACATAACATAAAGGTATTGGAAATGTTTTTAATATAAAATTACATAGGTACATAACTTATCTACACAGAAAATATAAAGGTTATATAATATTGTACTTATGTCCTAGGTGGCATAGGTATATTATAACCATTTTTTATATTATACTAGTCTCTTTTTTCATTTTAATTTTCATTGATCAATAAGTAATAACTTCTATAGTGTTTACTATATTATATTATATATATTTATATATATATTTATTTGATACCTACAACTACAGACCGGTACAATAAATCGTTCTATACTCCTATATTATATTTTGTTTTATCAACATTTGAAATCACTGATAAAACTAAAATGAATATTCATCGGTGTTGAGGTACGTATAATATTATTATTAGACGCGTATGACGATAAGCTGACGCTTCCTAACTTATCATACTATGAGGTACTAAACGACGGTCGGTATTATTACTTATTCCATAGATTAAAACAATCATTTTTTGAAGTACTTTTAAAAACGCAAATAAATATTCTAGTTGGATCTTGACGACACTTAAAGTTTAAAATAGTATCACAATAAGTCGTATAAATATGGTTTTTATAGTTTCCGTTTTTGTATACTCAACCGCGGAGTGTCATGGCGAAATTTATGAAAAATACTCGTGTGTGTATAGGTAATACACCTATTAGGTATATCAATGTTTACGGTGTATAGATAATAAATACCTACCTATAAATTTGAGCTTACCTATGTTTAATAGTAATATAATAATATACGTGACTGCGACGTGTTTAAAAACGCGAGATCACCACTTACCGATTAAGGTCCGTCGGGTTGGTTTGGCGTCTGTGCCTCAGCGCATACGACGGTGCCGTTGTTGCCGTGCGCGGTTACGAATAATCCTGCTGAACCGCCGCCGAACCGATCATAATACTATAATATCGCACCGGTGTTATACGTTTCCGCGGGGAATTGTCCGAGAACTTCGATTGTACAATACACGAGAAAAAAAAAGCTGACGGAATATTACGGTTATAATATTATTATACTCCGATGTATACGCGTGACCTTTCGAACTTGGAAAAATAGAAAACCCCCCCAAAAAAACGACGACAGATCGAAAACCGTTCGCGCGGCGCAACACGACGTGACGTTTACACAGGTAGGTTGTGTGTGTATACTCGTGCAGCGACTGTCGATCGCGGAGATCCTTGGTCGGATGGCGCCGATAGATCGGAGGCGATCAACCGATACGCGAAGACCGGGCGCGAGCGAGTTTGTGTGTGTGTGTGTGTGCACAGGCACGTCGCGGTCTCGGCGGCGCGAGTGTTACAGTGTTCTCGCGTTTTTCCGCCGGGCCGTGCGTGCGTGATGAGTGTACCGTGCGTATATGTATGTGAGCGCGCGCGCGTCGTACGGTTCGATCCACACGACTGCGTCCGTCTCGTCCGCGGTGGCGTCTCGGCGGCAATACTCGCGAGTCGGGACTCAGCGGCGGCGGCGGTCGCGCGCCCTACGCAGACTCCACCCCGCCGCCGACCCCCTGCCCCATCCGTTCCACCACGAACCGGCCCGGTGGGCGGAGCGTCCTCCTATATTCGGCGTCGTCGTCAGTCGGGTACCCCCCTAACGCTCCCACCCCGGCCGAAGATCGGTGGTGGTTGTTGGTTTGCGGCGTTGCAGGGTGCCGGCTGAGGGGATGATCGGTGGTGGGGTTGGAGGGCGAAGCGCCGACCGTGAGGGGAGAGGACGACGTCCCTGCCGAAGCCGAGTACCGTACCAGCCGCGGTGGTCCTCGTGTGCGCCGCCGCATTCTCGCCGTCTGTAATATATATATATATATAGCCATATAGGTAATATTATTATAATAATATGCGATGTGTACACGCGCGCGACAACCGATAAACGCGTTACATTTATTTCCCCGTTCGGATATCATATTATTATTATTATTATTATTATGACCACATATTATTATAGTATTTAGATTTGATATTACCCACCTATATATATATTATAGTCTATACTGTACAACTTTCTTGCTTCTCCGGTCTTCCTATTTCCTGGGATGATAAGTAGTCTCCTGTGGGATTCGGCAACGACAGTCCTGCTGAAATAATAGCTATCCGCCTATATCCAACGATTCTCAACAGTAACCAGTCGATATAATATAATACACATAATATTATATATTTACATGTTTGTTTATTTATTTATAGTTACTCTCCTTCTAATGGTATAATATTATGTACCAGTGAATTCATCCTATACGTTTTAGACTACTTTTAAAATATTTTAATGTATGCATTGATTATTAAAACTACATATTAAGTACCTATATATTAAATATGAGTGGGTATCCTTGCCCCGGGCGCTGTTGGTATAAGAGCGTTCAGGCGCTCTTAAGTTTATGAATCATAAATAACTATCATAAATTATGATAAATAAGTCTTGAACATAAAATGTGTATAAATTATACATATTTCCAAAAAAATTGTTATTTAACACATATTTGAAAGCCGATGTCAACTCGTAAGTGATATGAGTAACTGAGCGTCCATAGCCGGTGTCAACGGTAGGGATTAATTTTCCTCAGGAACAATTAGTTCAGGAATTATGATGGATAGAAATTGATTTGTTTTTTTCCAAAAGGCTTATTCAAGTTTTTATTCATAAAAGGACGTATCCCTGGAAAAGGAACGTTTTGTCCAATATCATTTTCTTTAAACTTAAAAATGCACTGTAAACATTTTAAGAAGACTGCAATTTTTTCGATATCATAAAAAGATTTATTATTTTTTTTACCTATATTTTTCAATGGTATATCACATATTATCTAAATCATTAGAGAAATGGAAAAGAATCGTTTTGAATTGAAACCCCTCAATTTATTTTCATAAACAGAAACCAATGTTACCTAAACAATTTTTACACCTGTCAAATTAAATTATATATTTTTATTTAAATTTAATTCATTTTAATCAGGATTGGATATTTAAAACATTTTTTTTTAAACTCTTGAGTTGATATTATAAAAAAGTCATTACTTATTTTTGAAACGTTCAGGAAGTAATTGAGCAAACATTGAGCTTTGAGTAAAAAAATAATAAACAATTACCGAAAACTTATTACTTAGTACATAAATATACATTCGGTTCATTCTATTATAACTTGACAGTTTTACCAATATTAATTCATTCGTGGTCATTTTATTGTTAGATTTTTTTCAGTTGACATAATATTATTATCCAAAAAAACTTGTTGAGGAATTTTATAATGTTAATATATTTTATATTTTTATAAGAATTCTTTCATATACTTTCAACTTTTGAGTAATGTGTATTTAATTAGTTCAAGTACCTATAATATTTACTTAATATTCTTTTCTAATAAACCATGTGTGTACTACTTAACTGTACACTATACATATTTTTTAATTCTGTTGCGGGATATTATACTAGATTGTTGGATTATCAATCCCCCCCTAATATTATTCTAAAATATGTATACTGTATAGGATATTTAGTAAAGTAGTTAAGTGAGTTATAGAGTGTACCCAGTTTAAGTACACGCGGTATATAATAATATAATATGAAAATAATGGTTTCAATAAAAAATATTTGTTATATAAAAATATACTGTATTTTGATTTGTATTTAAACATTTTCTGTTGACACCAGGCACACCCCATACCTCTACATACGTAAGGGCACTGCATTTTTATTAGCTCCGGGTGTCAAATTTCCTAGATCCGATATTCCGACACTATGTACCATTAATACAATATAATATGATTATATTAATAATTTATGCCTTTAGATGAATACTAAATTGATTAAAACATATCTATATGACTATATCTATAAATCTATGTAAGTATAAACAGTACATAAGCATAAAGTTGCACCAAAACAATTATTTCACAGTAAAAAAAATGTAATATACAAATGTATACCGACTAATTTTTAATCGGGAGTTGGTCAATATATTATTATTAGGTCAATTATTCAGTAGTTGTAGGTATATACTAATAAAACAAATTCTATATTTTTCTATAATTAAAACATTTTTAACGTTAAATTAAAAAAAAAAAAAACATTAAATAAATAAAATTGTAAAGTTTTTATATAAGTTATTGACTGCATGGTTTCCAAAAGAAAAAAAAATCTCCAGTTGATATATATATATACACCTATATATTTATATAACCTACAGGCTATGATGTATAAAATGTGTATATACAATATTTATTTCTCAGAAACCATCCAAACCATCGTCGTTGATAAGAACATTTTACTAAAATGATCATTAAAAAGTTTTTGAGTTTGCTTAAGTATGCCATTTTCCATAGCATTGAGTTTTATTTATATAAGAATATACCTAATGCGATTTCATATTGTACTTTGTTTTATAAATGAATAAATTGTTTTTACCGTTTTCGTAACAATAAAAAGTTGTTTTATTGTTGAATCTGTCGAAGTTGATTTATTTGCGTTTTATATTTTTTTGTTAATCGCCTTTTTTGTTCTTTCATTCTATTTACGTATTCTGCCAAAATAATCATAAATAATATAGTTCCACGAAATATAATATTCTTAATTTATATTTTAAAGTACAATAATTCGTGATGAGTTATTTTTCAATATTATAGGTATAGGTACGCGCCAAAGTTAAAAAGATACAATACTGAAGTCTGAAGTGCTATTTAAATTATTGGAAAAAGGAATTTGAATAAATAGTAAAATTATAAGTCCATACCAGTCTACCAGTCTTATTGAAAAACATTAAAATACACCTACTATACCTATGTTTTATAATGTACGATTTTTAAAATCATACAAGAACCAAAAGAAAAATAGATGGTTAGTTGATTTGATGTTTATCGAATTCAATATAAAGCCGAAACTGTATTATATTATTTTTTTTTTCAAATATCATAAAATGATTAGTTTGGAAGGTGATGTAAGCATACAACAAACCATTAATCCATATGATAATATTTATTCATTATACTTATTAGTTATTACTTATTATATTGTATAAAGTGCGCGTGTAGACGTGGGTTCATGTACAACAATGGTACTGTTAAGAGACGATGATCCGGCCCTACAAATATTATAAATATTATAAGTCATTCTTTAAGTCACATATTATAAATATATGTATTATGTATAGGTACATTTGTGTATGAATTTATACCAACGGTTCTAAACCTTTTAATATTCGCGTACCACCTACACAGGTATGAACATTTTCATGTACCACTTGACCAATTAATAACGTTTTTTTAGCTTATCAAAAATCTATACGTTATATTATAATTATGTATTGAATTTTATTTTATTAGGAACTACAAATGATGATGTAATAGACCATCGAAAAGCTTACAAAAAAATTAAATATACACAATTATGATTTACATTATTATTTATTATTAATATATAAAATAAACCAAATAATATTTAATGTGAATACTAATCGATCCTATTTTCTATAAAGGGAGATATCCCTAGGCGTACCACCCATAAGCTTTCCGCTTACCACAGGTTGAGAAACGCTTGATCTCTATGATCTACCACACTCCGGTGTGGGGAACTGATACAACAGTTATGTTGATAACACATATACTAAATTGTTACCTACTGGATATGTATATTATAGTCGTTATATAGTTTATTATAATAAACGAGTGGATGACACGTAACACGCTCCTCGGCGACACCCGAAATCGTCCTATTGCCAATATTTTGCCTCGTTGACGCTGTAGCAATAGTATATTGTAGTATATATTATACAGTATAAGGTACAATTAATTATTATATTATGTATACGTGTTACGTGTAATATGAGCCTAAGTTATATATTTATGTATAATGTATATATATAATACACTCGTATTAGGCACGGTCCACACCACAAAAATTAACGTGGAGCGTACCCATATAATATAAACATTATTATACCTACCAATATTAAACGATTCGTTTCTCTATATTTGAAACCAAGTTTTAGTTCATTAAAATGATCATACATGTATTCTAAAAAATCTAATAGTAATAACATTTAATCGGGTGTATACCCTACTGGTAACCTTGTATAGGTAAATATTTCGACCAGCCAACGTGTGTTAACCACTGTACATTTCCTGACGGTACAAATTATTCGGAACTCGTGAGTCGCGAGGACGTATTTAATAACAGCGGACATGCTATACTATATTTATTAGTATAATAATATTATTATTTTATATTAATTATATATTATACAGTTTATACAGTTTGAGATATTACTGTACATATTATATGTCTTCGCTTTCTACTTTCGCCAAATCAGATTTTAACCATCTGAAAAAAAATAAAAGATGTTTATACTTCGTCCTCGGTATGTTATTTAATACATTACCTATATGTAACTTAATTAAATGGACTGAAAATTATCCGTAATCTAAAGAAACAAATATTCAGTATAACATATATATATATATATGATTTTAGGTATTTAAAATATATTCCACAACTCTAAAATACATTTTGTCTATTCTTAGTAATATTATTGTATATGTATTAAAAAATGCAAGTGTTCTGTATATAATAATTAAATAAATAAAGTTTTAATATTATAGTATAAAAATAGATGATCATGCGCACTTCATTGTCCGTAAAAAATGACAACTCTAAAAAAAATGTGATTGTTGAACTCATTTTGGCTGTAACTCGCTGCAGTAAGTGAAACTCAGCCACCCTGGTAGGCAATCCGATTACGTCGGATCGCGGACAATGTGCGACAGCATAATATCACGTATAGGCAATCCAC